GTTAGCCTTCTTGGCAACAAGAGCACACTGTTGACTCATATCCAGCTTCTCGTCCACTGTGACCCCTAGGGAGGGAGATAAAAAAAAAAAGAGTTATCATTAATAACACTTTGAGTGATACAATTCTGATCGCTCTGTAGCATATTTTGGACATATGTTCTGGTTTTCCTGATTTATTTTACTTATGGTTCTTGATTTATTTTAGTTATCACAGAATTGGCCACATATTTTTCACCCCTGTGGATTCTGCAACACCTATTTTAGTCAGGTGATTGAGAACTGTATCTAAAAATTTTGAGACAAAGTAAAACATTTCCACAAATACATTAAAAAAACAAACAAAAAAAACCATTGGTAGGTATCAGACCCTCCATCCTAATTTTGTTATATTTAAGCAACTTTTGACTCTCTAGAATCATACAATCCAGTCCGTGTCTAAATCTTGCTGCTTCTTCCTGTACAACATCTCTAATATCTGTCTTTTTCCTCTCTGTTCACATAACTTCATCTCTAGTCCATCATCCATATTTTAATGACTGCAACTTCCTCCTCTCTTGGCCTTTGATAAATGCCATATTGCCCCACTTATATCAATTCAAAAAATTGCTACAAAGATAGTTTTCCTGGGTCACTACTTCAACCACATCAGCCCACTCTTTGCATCCCTTTGCTGGCTCCCCTCTTTCCCATCACATCAAACATACACTTCTTGTCTCCACTTTCAAGGCACTTCATGGTCTAGGGTGACCAGACGTCCCGATTTTATTGGGACTATCCTGATATTTGCTTGTTTGTCCTGCGTCCCGACCGATGTTTGACTTCATATTGAAGATAAATGTTGACTATGTAAATAGTGCTCCCAGAGTTGGTAGCCGTGCTCCCAGCACTCTGCCGTGACCACACATGCCACATGCCGTGGCAGCACTTTAGTATTGCCAGTGTAGACTAGCCCTAAGATACCATTAAAGTTGTGTGCAATTAAAGGCCAGGGAACAAGTAGCTTAAAGGCCAGGGAACAAGTCAGGGAGCACACAGACACAAATGTTTTGGTGATATTTGCTAGTTCATGGGAATTGACGGTATTTGCATATCTGTTTATCTTCAATATGAAGTCAAACTATTAACACTTTTCTTCCACAGATGGTTGACTGAATTTGTGAAATACATCACAGCTAAAATAGGTGGTAAACCAGATTATCTGTCTTGCCAAAATTTTTGAAATTTCAGAATATTGTTCATCCCAAATCAGGATGCAAAGGCAAAATTTTTCACAAGAAGAAATGGGGGAAAAATTAATGTCAGGTCAATCAAAATATTTCATTTCAGTTTCAACCTTTTAATATGTAAACTAAAGTCAATTTCAAAACAATGTGATTTTGAAATGAAAAACTGAAACATAATTCCCAAAATTATGGGAAAGTGTCAAAACGGATGTTTTGACACTTTCAACTCCCCCCCCCCCCGCTTTTCTACATGAATTTTTGTCAAAATTAATGCAAATTAATGCAATATTGTGGAAAACTTTGGTTTTGTCAAAATGGCATTTTCTAACGAAACTTTTAACAAACATTTTCTAGTTAGCTCTAATTCTGGGATTGTTTAGAATTTACCATCATGGCCTTCTTTTGCAACCTCCACAACAAGTTCAAGCAGTTTTACAATGCTTCATCTTGATCTGAGCAGGCTGTCTGCAGATCTCCACAGACCACATTTTGGCCAGTGTTGTATAACCAATTTTCTTTTTTTTATTGTAGCTGTTGTAATCAGACCTTGATAAGAATTGCTGCCAGAGACATCCAATCAGCCCCATGTTATCATCTGGAAATGATTAGAGCCTTCAAGGCAGATTGAAGCCATTTTGATAGCATTGATTAGTTCCTTATTTTAAGTTGTGCCATTTCACCGGTAAGATTCTTGCCTAATTTACAGAGATTTTATTTATTACACTGTAAATAGTAAAACTAATTTTGTTGTGTGAACCCAAAACCTTAAACTGGCTATTGAAGCTGTAACTTTTGTCGTTTGAAAGTCATGTGAATAGTGTTGGCTCTCTTGCAATGCACAATAATCAATTAGCATATCAGAGTGTTCAGTTACTTCTTAGTCATGTGGTATTGTAGCTGTTTGGCTTCATTTCCTGACATGATTCTAATCACCCTCACTGTGTGTGCAACACTTTGGGTTATCCACTGTGATTCTTTGGGGTTCAACTCAGCCCCCAAAGGGGTAGTGTCACTGCCTGCCCTGCAACTCTGGGTTCCTTAAATGCTATGCTGCTGTGGCTCACAGCCTTGGCACCAACCGCCAGCATACAAACATGCAGGTCAGACCCTGGCTTTCACTGCCCAATTACTTTTTGCAGGGTGACCCCAACACCCCCCCAGTCCTGAATTTCTTCAAAACTGTCTGCCCTGTAATGTCGAGCCCTCTTACTGAACGCTTGTAGAAGTTAAATTTGCCGCTCCTTTAAAGAGATATTACACTGCAGCTTATTCACTTAACTGGGGTTGACAAATGCTCCACTTCAGTCAAAGCACTGAGTTGGCTTAAGTTTATTAACAAAAGGACATAGATTTAAATGATATCAAGTAGAAAGAATTAAGATAAAAATAATTACAAACAAACAAAATGCTTCTAAAACTAAAATTTAACTTAATCAGCAATAGTTCTTGTTCAAGATGGTTTCCCTACTTACAGCAACTTCTCCAATGTGCCTGGCTGTTCCAGCCAGGATCCACCTTTACAGAATTAAAGAGCTGGTTTCTTTGTTCCCTCAAGAGACGGATAAGTATGGGGTTCTCTCCCCTTTCTTTTTATAGTCCAGTAAACTTTTGAAATGTATTATTTGAGGAGTAAACCCAGACAAAGCATCTGTCTTGCTGGGGTGTAGATTCCCTGCTGTCTTCCCAAAACTCAGTTACCCTATGTCAAGAGGCAGGAAGACTTCCTGGTGTAGACTCCATCCCTGTTGAGACTGTTAAGTGATCACTTTCCCCCACTTGCTCTCCTGATGGCTTTGTTTACCTTGCAAGTAAATGTACTTTTCTTTGTCTTTGGTTACACCTTGCTTAATTTACATTGGAAACACCCTCAAGCAGGTGGAACCACATTCCTTTGTCTGGAACAGGTGTTGCTTAGGCACCGCTTTCCAAATACATTTGAAGAACATATCTCTAACACATAGCTCTAAAGTCCTTTGTGGGTTTACTGTACATACAGCCAGGGCCCTCCTTACCCATGTGCAAAGTACGCAGCTGTGTAGGGCACCAAATTTCCTGGTGCCCTGCACAGCTGCATGCTGCTCCAGCCCCTGCCCTGCCTCTTTCCCAGGGCCCCCGCCAGGGTGACCAGATGTCCCGATCTTATAGGGACAGTCCCAATTTTTGGGTCTTTTTCTTATATAGGCTCCTATTACCTCCCACCCCCTGTCCCGATTTTTCACACTTGCTGTCTGGTCACCCTAGCCCCCGCCCCAGCACCGCCTCTTCCCACCCCTGCTCTGCCCAGCCCCACCCCTGCTCTGCCCAAGCCCTGCCTCTGCCCGCCCCTGAGGACTGCAGCAGGGCTGACCTTGCACTCACCAGTGGCAGGAAGTGCAGCTGTGAGTGAGCCTCCCAGCCCAAGGAGACAGACTCGTGCTAGCTTGAGCTAGTGGACTAAAATTAGCAGTGTGGACGAGCTGCCCAAGTTTGGAGCCATGGGCTCAACCTGGCTTGGACTTGGGTAGCTAGCCCAAGCTGCTGCCCACACTGCAACATACACACTGCTGGGAGGCTCACTACCTGGGCTGGAAGGCTCACTCACAGCTGCAATGTAGGCATGCTCTAAGTTGCTGTGCCATTGTAACACCGACAGACCCAGTCGTCGGCGGGTGGGATTGAGCTTAGTGCATGAGCCTCAACTGCATGAACTAGACGCCAACTAGCTGGTAGCTAAGGCTGTAGAGCAGATTCATTTGATCTCTCTCTCTAAGTGGTCTCGGTGCCACTAGATGGGACAGAAGCCACACCCAGAAGGTATGTGTGTTACACCATTATCTGCATCATGGGATAACAGTACTTCCCTACGTCGCAAGGGTGTTGTGAGGTGTTCAGATGAGGGCCATATAAGTGCCTGAGATATGCATTAAGATTATGAGGTTTATGTGTGTTTTAGCTCAGCATGTCACAAAACATATACCATGAAATCTCTTCTTCTGTTGTAAGGAGAACAACAAAACAACAACAAAATTGACATGGATGGATTAAGGCAGCTATTGGCAGATATCCGGGTCCTGTGATCAAAAAGGACCTCTGAATTTGGGAGCAAGACTTCAAGGATCCATCACAAGCAGTCTGGGAACAGCAGCTGACATTGTGAGTCAGTTCCACTGACGAGAAAATGGGTTGGCCCTTGTCTCTCTCTGCCTGAGAACAGGCCCAAGGCCCTGAACACTGATCAGCAAGCTGAGCTGAAAGACACCGTAGAGCTTTGTCACTGCTGGGCCCTCTCCCACGCTTCCTAGAAGGCATAACAAGGAGCTGCTGCTTTGATTCAGGAGCAGAAAGGAGATGCCGAAATGCTCTCCACTCAAGTGGGAAGTAAAGGTGCCTCTGTAACCCCTCAACACCACCACCACTACTTGATGGGGAGAAGCCCCTGCACCAACAAATGAAGATGGATACAGACTTTCATAGGAGCTGTGAGAGCCTGATGGCTCTCCTGGCAACTGCAGCAGTGAAAGGAGCAGAACGTGGGACCACCTGGCAGCCCCACGCCAGCAGCTCCTCCAGCGCGGCTGCTGTACTGCCCTTAGGCCCTCCCCCCCGCCCGCACACACACTCCCCCCAGCCCTGTCCTCCGGCAAGGCTGCAGTACCTCCGGCCCGGCCCCAAACCCCGCAACCCTGGCCGGAGCTCTGGCTGGAGCGCAGCCCAATTCCTGAGCTCTTTAAAGCCGGCCCTGATCAGGGGACGGGGGGAGGGAGTTGGGGGTTCTGAGGGGGGCAGTCAGGGGTGGGAAGTGAGAGGGAGTGGACGGGGGCAGGGCAGGGCAGGGGCGGGGCTAGAGCGGGGCTCCTCCCCCCCCCAGTGTCCTCTTTTTTGCTTGTGGAAATATGGTAACCCTATGCAGTGTAGACATACCCTAAAGTTCTGGCAGTACCATGGCAGGTTATGTGTAGCCACACAACGCAGTGAAAAGCAGGCTGTGCCCACACTGCAGTGTGTACACAAATGGTGTGTAGCTGCCTTTGGCAGGGAAAGGCTCCAGCAGTTGGGAGCTGCTGGAGCCTTTCCATGCTGCCTCAGCCCTTTCCTGCTGCTGGAGTCTTTCACTGTGGCAGGAAAAGACTCCATCAGTGGAGAGGCAGTGGAATGCTACGCTCCCAAAAATAGCAGTGTAGATATGGGAGACACTGCTTGGACGAGCAGAAAGCCATCTAGGGCATATACCCTAAGGTTCTGGTGTGTGTTTAGTGTACTTGCCTAAGCAGCGCCTCATCATCTACACTGCTGATTATACCTGTGGAAGGGGCGTTTGCAGTATCTGTATGATACATGCCACCGTAGCCTGGGTGTCTTGCCACGGTCACATAGGAAGTCTGCGGCAGAGCTGGGAATTGAAGTCATATCTTCTGAGCCCTAGGCTAGCACCCTAACCACAGGGCCAGCAGTCCTTTCGAGAGTCAAAAATTCTTTGCTTGTCTTAGTGTTGGCAAACTATTGGAGTTAAGAAAAAAAAAGCAATTTCTCCCTACATGGTAGCTTCCAAACGCAAACCATCCCCTCCTGGAGTGGACAGACTACATATTGGGAAGCTGGGTACTTTGTTGCCTCCCTCCCCCACACCCAACCACAACCACAGCAAGGAACCTGAATATTGCCGAGTAGAATAATGTAATGATATTCTGTTTTAAATCTTAAAGCATCACTACAATAAGTTCTTAAATTATTATTCGTTCCATTCCAGTTGGGCATGCCCCGTGCAATGCAGGGGAGAGAGAACTGCTTGTCTCACATTCTCTTTGCAGTTGTGCAAGAGCCAAGGGGGAGAAGCAGCCCAGGAAGAGTGAGAAGTGGTGAGGGCAGAGCAGTGCCACTAGTATAGCAGTGGTGTTCAGAAACATTAGGGCTACAGCCCTATCCTCCGGTTAAGCTCTGTTGTTGTTGCACTTGTGTGTGCAATTGCATGTGGTAGAGTTTGATCTTTTACAAGCAATGAGACAGTATGTATCTGAGAGAAGGATGTCAATCTTAGACTTGGAAATGGAAAGAAGACACTTCGTTAGTATCCAAATAGTATTTACAATAATGTTAGATCCAGTTGTAAATACAGTGATGAGGTGGGATTCTCTGCTGAGGTCACCCTGGAATGAGATCTCCAAACACCTAGCAATTCTCCTCCTCTCAGTCTGGCTCTCAGAAAAGAATCAGACTGGGGATAAATCCTTTGGCCTGTCAGAACATTCAAGTGAACTACAATTAAAAGTTATTCACCATAAAAACATTGCTTCTAATGATTTTTATCAGCAAAACATTCCTGGCAATAGCATGATAATGGTATTAGAACCTAATACATTTTCAACTTTCTGATTTACACCAGGCAATAAACTTTGGTGGTTTTTTAAAAAATACATTACTATTAAAACTAACATTGCACTGAGATTCTCAGTTCCTGGTCTGAGATGAATTATTATTTTTATTGACTGACAACGCCCTTTTTCTCAGTTCTGCATAACTGTGTTTTGTGGCTAGAACTTTTCTGAGAAAGGTATGTTGCTCCCTCAGATCTGAATGCTTACCCTCTAAATCATTCTTAATTAAATCATTAAACCTTGAAGCTTAAAATAAGGGAGGTGGGAAGGTATAAAATATGTTCATGTTTACTTTTGTGTTAATTTATGTCTTATCATGTTGAATAGCAGGGAAAAGCAAGTTAAGCATTTTTAAAAAACCACATGATCAGTATAATTGATGCATTCAGCCTATAGAACATACATATAATAGTCCATTGTAATAATAAGATTGGCCAGCCAATACTTTGCCTTGGAGACCATTACTTAAGCAGATGACTCTTGACCCCTTTCTTTTAGAACTTCCAGAGGTTTGCTAGAAAGAACTTTTTTGTGCCAGTCAGTCTTTAACATCTCCCTCTGGGCACACTCAGTTTTTCATTTAACTTACTTTTGAACATTAATCCTCCTTTTATCCTGAGGATCTTTATGAGAAATGGATTGGGTTTGGAGCCTTTTCATAACAGCAGTTGTAAATGGTTCCTTCTTATGGGTATAAATCTGTCACAATGAAGCAATGATGTGTGTGCTACAAGACAGATGTATTTTTTAAAGGAAAAATGTTACTAAACAATGAGCAAGCAATGTGCTGCATAGTGTATTTAAGATCACTTACCTTTGCTATCTCTCTAGAACTAAAGTGTTCCCAAATCTGTAGATGGTTAAAGAAATTCAGCGTATAGTGAACAGATATGAGAATGTGGAACAAGTTGCTCTAATGAAGAGTCAGATATCTTTTGACATAACTCATATATCTACCATTGGTGCCCAGTTCCTGAGGTTGTTGACAGGCATGAGAAATGGACAGAGAAAGATTAGCAACCCGAAGAGCAAGCCTGATTAAAGCATCCAGTTTAAACAGATGCTGACTCAGGAAAAGAAGAATGTTGGCCAAAACCTTATAGACTTAAATAGAGCAAAGCAGGTGGTTGCTTTGTGACATCATTGGAAGGCAAAGGGCATAACAGTGAAAAAAATGTTTGAACGGGAATGCCAGAAATTATGAAAGAAAGGACATTCATGGTGTTTTGTACTTGCAAAATAGACCAGAGAGACTACTGCAGGAAGGAAATTGAATCAAATTAGAGTTGCTGTAAAAAGACCAATTCCTCTTTTTGTGTCAGTCCCCTCCCAGAACATCCAAGGGTTGGCTATTGCTCATCTCTTCATTCCAGAGCCACCATCTTTCATCTTCCTCTCTTCTACATAACACCCTATAGCTCTTTTTTTCCCTTTCAGTGACTGTCATTTCTGGAGTCCTTATTGCAGAATCATTTGAGTTGAAAGGAACCTCCAGTCAGTCATCCAGCCCATCACTTTGCGTCATGATAGAACTGCTTTAATTAACCATATGCCATCCCTGATAGAGAGATAACAAGCCTAGCATCGACTACACCCACTATGTATTATTGCTCAACTATCAATGCCCTTCACTTAGGATTATAGGGCTTGCAGTCTGCTCTGAGATCTATTATTCAGAAGGAAATTTACCAAGAGCATCATCTTACATTAGAGACCAAAGTGTCAGCTCACAGCATGCCTAATCTCAACTGGACCATAGCACTGGAATCTTTGGCATACTCCCCCTAAACCCAGATTTCCTACATGAGATGCACTGTGAGGTAAAACAAATCAAATTTTGTTTTTAATCTGAAGTGGTTTGTTCTGTTAGAGCTGCACATAGCCCAAAGAGAGCATTGCTGCATGAGAAGTTATTTGAGTTCCCTGATCTCTTTCTCTCCTAGAAGGCCTGAACTAGGCTTCTGGAATAGATTATAAGGAAATCAAACACCCCTATAAAAGAAAAATACAGTAAAAAATAGCATACGATCAAATGGACTGTGATCTTAAAACAAATACATTTTCGAAAACAAAGCTTGTCAGTACCAGTGAAAATCATTGTCAAAAATATAGTTCCAATATCAGTCATGGAGCCAACAGACATGTTTTCATTGTTTCTTTCCCATATTGCCATGAGATAAGGGTTAATTCTTTGCCCAGCTGAAGGGCCACCAAGAAGACCATGCCCAATTTACAAAATGGAACAAATTGCAGTTGCCTTCATCTTTTATAGGAGAATGAGGTCCCAGCATGTGATTATTATTACTAGTTATTACTTGCATCATGTGTACCACATATTATTCATAGTTCCATATAGTGTACACAGTGCTTTATAATACAACGAAGAGGAATTCCCTGCCCCCAAAAGTTTACAGTATAAGTCAAGACAAGAAGAACAGGGAGGGACATGAGAAAGGGAGGACAAAAGAGAAGGCTATGTTTAGGCAGTCATATGGGAAGCTAATACACAAATCCAGAGAACAGTGATGCAATGCTCCATCTTGATAAGGTTGACCTTCTGCATGGGTCATTGCATTCAGAGAACAGTATTCTCTGTGCACATGGTCCTCTCTGTTAAAGATGGAGGGTGGTTGAATTGCGCATTTTAGCCAACTTGGCAGCTTCATCTTAGTTTTTAAACCTCATTTTCTCCTAGAAAAGTAATAGCTATAAAAAAATCCTCTTTAATATTTCCCAACTAAAATATAATCAAGCTTGATTCCATGCATTGGCTTTGTATATGTTCCTCCTTTCTCTCCTCATTGCTTGACCTTGTTGAGTTAGTCATGAAAAGCAACAAAGCGCTGCTTTGAGTTCTGTAAATCTTGGTCCTCGTGTTTCCTGTGAACAGGTCCAGCTGAGAAAGTTAAGCAGGAACCTGGGTCGATGCTGTCAGGATGCCATTACAAACACTGTATGTCAGAAGAATATTGGACAGAAAACACTGCTTAAACATCAACATTGTTTTTCCAAGGCATGAAATGTTGCTCGAATTTATATAATAAATATTTCATTGTATATCATGGGGAGCTTTCATGTAAATCTCAAGATTAGCTGGAAATCAGGACAAGCATGAGCCTGGCTGCCTCATAAGTATGAAAGTATTTGTCTGGGGTATTTTTTCAAGGAAATTCCCTAGCATATGGACAAGGCAGAAATGCAGCATCCTTGAGAGAGAGAGAGAGTCAGTCAGCCATACACTAATGAGAGAGAATCTTTTAAATTAAGATTTTAAAACAGGGAAATTACTGGGAAGGAGGATTAGGGAGAGTTTCAGTGAATGAGAGAACTATGGAAAGAGTAATCTTCCTTCTCCTGTACACAGGTAGAAATTTTTTGGGGAGAGGCCAAAAT